GGGGGGGACGGGCTCCAGCTCCCACCCCCCTTCTCTGGGCTCCTAAACCCTGCCAAGCAGAAGCAGGCATCAAGTCTTCTCCCTGGAATGAGGGCTTACTTGTTGAAGTTGTCAGAAGGGAAAAACCTGCAGCCCCACTTCCAAAGCCGAAGGTGCTGAAATGCGGCCTAGTCCAGGGGCCAGCAATGGCGGTCCCAGCCCAGAGGCTCCTCTCGCCGGGGAGGGCTGGCCTGTTCCTCTCAGGGATGAGGAGGTAGTTGGTGTCTGTCTCTCAGTGCCAAGGCTGGTCCCAGGCCTTGGGAGGGTGGCAAGGAGGGGTAGGATGGAAAGACAGGGTTCCGGGTCTTTTGCCAGTGCTGAGGAGGAAGAGTTGTTTCTCTAGGCCTCCCAAACCGCCAGAGTGATCGGGCCGCCTCTCTTGAAGCGCCCAAGAGGACGTTGACTGTGCGCGCATGCGCGAGCCTCGAGCCTCCTCTGTTTCCCGCCTTTTCACAGGCGATCGCGCCGCTTTTGCCAGCCGGCCGGCGTCTTGAGGCTAGTACGCAGGCGCCGAGTATCCTCCTTGCCCCTCCCTCCTGTTCGCCGGGAGAAGAGGAGACCGAGACAGGAACCGCGAGAAACCGAGCAATGAGAAAACTAGGAGGCAGGGGGCGGGGAGAAGGAGGGGCTTCCTCCTCCAATGGCTCGCAGGCAGAGCCACGCCTCCAGTGCTGGCGTCCCGCCCGACTTTGAATTGCCGGAGGACCTGGCCTGCCCACCTGCCCCCAGACGGAGGCTCGGGGGCGCCCCGCTTCCCCCTCCAGCGGGCGGGCCGGGTAGCGTTCTAAGGGATCCCTACATGGGAAGGTGAGTGGGAAGACAAGGCTGAGAACCAACATGTAATAAGATCGAGGCTTCTGTGCTAGGGCGACAACCGTGAGACTCCCCACTAGTGTTGACTGAAGGACGCTTTTCGTCGCCTCCAGGGCTGCATTTTTGCTGGTCGCGGGTCTCTGCGTGCGTATGGGGGGGCGGGGCCAGTCCTTAGGCCCTGGCAGTGGGGGCGGGGCCCGGCTGTGGAGTGAGGCCCGGCTAGTTCAGGAGGCGGGACCCCGAGTGGAGCGAGCCCAGGATTGGGTGGTATGAGGGGCCGGCGGCGGTGTGTAAACAGGATTGGCACTCGGGGCGGGGCATGGCGGCTGGGATTGGTCCCCGCGCGGGGGACTGAGGAGAATTGATGGAGTCAGCCGAGGAAGCGGGGCCCGCCGAGGCCCCTGGGGCCCCAGCCTCGAAGGAGGACAAAGAGAGATCTTTATCCAAGAGCCGTAGGCGCCGGCGATGGCGAAAAACCAAGGCCAAAGGTGAGCGTGCGGGGCGGGCATCGGCCCCGAAGGAACCTTGGACGTACTGCGGGGAAGTGGGGACTGAGTGGACTGACCCATCGCCTCGACAAGTAGGGGGGTCCATGGACTCGCCCATTGCAGCCCTGCGGGAGGATGCGGGGATGACCTGAGAGCGGATTATACCCCCAGCGTAGAAACTACCGGATGCCCCACTACTGTCTTGGGAGGAGAGTCCCGAATGCGAGTCTTCTGGACGAGAGTTCCCGATCTGGCTCCATACTCGCTGTGTGACTGTAGGCAGCTCCTGCCCTCTGTTTCTGGTTCAGACGCTGATTTTCAGGTCTCAGGCACTCTTGAAAGGATAGAAAGAAAGAGGTTTATAAGCTGTTGCCCAAAGAGGAAGTTTAGGGGTGAGTCAGAGAAAGGTAGAAGGAAGGGGTGCCCCAGAGAGGGAAATGCCAGGGGGCCAGTACAGTTCAAAACAGACCTGTATCCCATCCTTCATTCAGTCTGTTCATCCATTTCCTGTCAGTCCACCTGCTTCAGCCCTGCTTTTTCTTGACCCCCACTTCTTCTAAAACTAGGGGTTCCTGGGTTGGTTTCTGACTGCCACACCCTCCCTCAGGAGAAGGAAGAGCTGTCACCTGGGTTCCTAGGATGCCACATTACTTACTAAAAGTCCAGTGGAGATGATGCAAGCCTCAGGCAGGGGCTGGCATTAAGTCCTTGCATGGTTTTGAATATTTCGCAATCCAAGTGAGGACCTGTGGAAAGTTCCTGTGCAGACAAGAAACTGACATAGCCCCTGGGCTCCAGACCCCAAACTTTTCATTGTACATCCCTGTCAAGGATAGAACTGGAATTGGCTCCAGATGCACAGGCAGGCTCAGACAGGCTCAGACTGGTGCCTGAGGGCATTCACAGTCACACAGCAAGACAGCATCACAAGCAGGACAGAGTGCCCAGAGGCAGTACAGACCATGGTTAAAGTTAAGTGCATGGGCCCTGGAGACCTGGTTCCTCAGGCTATGACTTCTGGTACACTGGGCAACAGGCTCCTTCCTTCCCTGCCTCAACTTGTGAGGTTTGAATGAAGTGTGTTTGGCGCTGGCACACAGCAAGCCCTCAGGAGGAGTGGAAGTTACCCCCACACTAGACAGCAAACTCCCTAAGAGTGGGGTTGTGTCTGCCTTGTTTACCCTGCATTTCCAGAGCCCGCTATGCCAGGCACATAGGTATTTAAATATTTATTGAATTAATAAGTAAAGGAATGCATGAACTGTAACACCAGGACAATAATAATCGTGCTGTACTTAGGACTGTCATGAGGAGTCAGATGCTCTTGGGCAGGACTTCCTGCACAGGGCTGAGACAGTCCTCACAAATCCATGGGCCCACCTACTCACAAAGGTTCATTCCCCCAAGCTCTGAGATTTGCCTCTCACTTCCTGAGGCCCTGCCCTGGTGCCAGGTCTCAGTTGGGTGAATCAGACCCCGCCCCTACCCCAGGGGCATCCAGGCTGGCTGGTGCAGTCCTAGTCATCAATTTGATCTTGCCAGTAACCTGATGACAGTAGTGTCATGATCACCTTATTTCCCAGATGATGACACTGAGGCCCTGTGGGAGCAAGGTCACCTGGCCAGTGAGGGCAGAGAGATGGCAACCCCTAGCCTCTTGAGGGCAGGGAGTGTGTGAGCTCAAAATTGCTGTCTGCCCCAACTTTGATTCACACAAATTCATTCCTCAGACATTCACTGAACACTTATGTGGGCCAGGCCTGGGCTCTCAGTGGTGAGGACAGAATTACATTGGAGCTGTAGACACAGACATTAATGAAATCCCACAGACAAGATATAATTATAAACTGTAATAAATACAAGAGAGAAATTCCTGAGAAAGTGTAAAAGGGATGCTTCCCAAGGAGGTGACATTGGACCCAAGGATGAGTACTTGTTGACTGCTGGGCAAGGGGGGAGGGAGCGCAGAGGGGACAGAATGGGCAGAGACCTTGAGGCCCAAGGAAGCAGCACATTACAGCACAGAGGGAGCTCAGTGAGGGAGGGAAGGAAGAGAGGAGGCTGGATGGTCAGGGGGCCTAGATAGCCTCTAGGAGACCACATCTAGGATGTAGGGCTTTATCCTGAGAAGAGGGGTGGGGCTATTGAGAGTTGGGAGTATGTAACCAGATTTATGTTTTAGAAAGATCCTCTGGCTGCTATGTGGAACAAAATTGAAAGGGGCAAAATCAGAAACACATAAAGAGTTGTTACAGTCATCCAGATATGGAAGCAGTGGGGGTAGGGAGAAGGATCAGGTTCGAGTTTTCTAGGGGGCAGAGTGGACAGGACTTCATGATAGACTCGATGAGGATCAGAGGTGGCCAGGATGATTCCCTGGGTTTTGGCTTGAGCAAATGGGGAGAGATGCTTACACCACACACACACACCCAGGATATGCACAGATATCAACATATACATCCATGCTCACACAAACACATGCCCGCACAATCTCACAGGCCGAGAAAAAGAGACATATACGCTCACAGGCTGAGAGAAAGCCAGGCCGTGACACATGCATAAAAACATGCCTTCAGACATACCAAAAAACAGGAAAACGCACAGACTGAGAAAAAATGTCAACATGCCCACCCACAAACAGGCTGGGACAAACACTGGCCATGACCTGAACCTATGTATGTACATCCATGCATGTGAGTGAACCTCAGGCACACACACCTGACCACCCAGAAAGCACACAGCTGAGACATGACAGAGAGAAGAAGCAACACTCAGATACGCCATCCTTGCTGGTTCCATGATGCTGGGCAGCATGTCACTTCTCTGGGTCCGTTTCCTCACCTGCCAAAAGGGGTAATAAAGTCCTTACCTCGTGCATCCTGCAGAGGGTAAAGTCAGTTACTTCACAGAAAGCACTCAGAGATCAGCGCCTGGCGCACTAGTCAGTCCTTCGAGCACTGTTTGCTCTTCTGTGGGAATACTCAGGGAACTGGCTACCCTTGCGGGCCCTCCTTCACCTGTACCCAGGCATCTCCCTTTCAGAGGCCCTTACCCCTCGCAGGCCCCAGACCTCACCCTTCCTCCATCCACCTCCCACTTCTTTCCCCCACTGCCCTGCTCAGTCCCTAGGGGCCAAAATGCAGGCCTGATTCAGCTGCCCAGTGGCTCTATAGGGCAAAGGGCTGGTGCCCAGGCAACAGTACCCCTCAGCCCTACCTCTGCCCCAGTCCTCGCCCATGGCCCCGGTGGGCCTGCCCCTGCCCCAGTGCCCTCTGCCTGGGATTCTTGGCGAGTTTCTGGCAATCTCAACATTACTTCCTGCCAGCTCTACCCAGCCTAGCCCCCAGGGAGCTGCCTAGATCAGGGCGAAGGGCAGGGCCCTGGAGTCATGAAGGCCTGGGATCCAGCCTCTTCCCCAATGCTTTGGTGCAAGTCACGGTTCTGTCCAGGTCTCCTCTGTCCTCATCTTCAATAAAGAGCCCTACCGCATAGATGGGAAGTAAATAACAGTGGCTTTATAAAGTGGGAAGCCACAGTCTGTTAGGCAATAAACACCACACACTGGCCGTGCGCCAGGCACTGTGCAAGGGGTTCGGGTACAGCAATAAAACAGACAAAGCCCCTGCCATCAGGGAGCCTATAAACTAATGAGGGAGACAAAGAGAAAACTCATAAATAGTCAATTGTATAGTCTCTTAGACAGCATGTCCTGCCACTGAGGAAAATGTCCAGTACACACCTTGGTGAGGCCACGTGAGAACCACCAAGCAGACAGCTGTAGAAAAGACCGCCCAGGGGGGTGGGGGGGCGGGCAGGAC